TACACATAGCAAAGAAGAGCAAAGGAAATGGTAACTGTATATGTAAATATTTTTTCTTATTTAAATCATGTTAAAAATAATTGTTTAAAACAGATTAACATGTAATATTGGTTTATATGAAGTGCTATAGTATCATATATTGGAATACTGTTAAGTTAAAGATATATAGTATAAACCTTGAAGCAACCACTAAAATAACAATGAGTCACAGCTAATAAGCCAACACAGGTTAAAATAGAATTTTACACAAATATTTGTTTAATCTCAAATTAGGCAGAAAAAAGGAAAAAGGGGACAAAGAAGAGATAGGACAAATAGAAAACAAATATAAAGAGGATAGATTCAAACCTAACCATATTATTAATCACATTAAATGTAAATGGTTGTAACAGCTCAGTTAAAAGGCAGAGAATCTCCAATTTGATTTTAAAAAAGCAAGACCCAACTATATATGCTGCATAAAAGAAATGCCCTTCAAATATGTACACAAGTAGTTCATGCATGAAAGGATGGGGCAAGATGTATCATGTTAACAGTAGTCAAAAGAAAGCTGGAGTATAACATCAGACTAAGTAGATTTCAGAGCAAGCAGTATTAACTGGAATAAAGAATGTCATTATGTACTATAAAGTAGTAAATTCCTCAAGAATTCATAGCAATCTCAAATGTTTCCTGACTTACTGAAAGAGCTTTAAAGAATGTGGAGCAAAAACCTACATACTGCAAGGAGGGATGTAGAAATCCACAAGTATAGTCAGGTATTTCAATATCCCTCTCTTAATAACACAAGTGGGCAAAAGAACCCAGTGATGATACAAAAGATTTGAATAATACTGCCAACCAACTTGACTTAATCGACATTTGTAGAACATTTCATCTAACAAAGCAAAATGCACATTCTTTTCAAGAGCACATGAAACACTTACCAAACTAGACCATATTCTATAAAAGAAGTCTCAGTAAATTTAAAGGATCAAATCATACAATGGAGTTCTGTTTTCTGACCATGATGGAATTAAATTAGAAATAAATTAATAAGAATGATTTCTGGAAAAGCCCCAAGTATTTGGAAACTGAATAACAAACTTTTTTTTTTAAACAGTTTTATTTATTTATTTATTTATTTATTTATTTACTTACTTACTTACTTACTTACTTACTTACTTACTTTGGTGAGGAAGATCAGCCCTGAGCTAACATCCATGCTAATCCTCCTCTTTTTGCTGAGGAAGACCGGCTCTGAGCTAACATCTATTGCCAATCCTCCTTTTTTTTTTCCCCCAAAGCCCCAGTAGATAGTTGTATGTCATAGTTGCACAGCCTTCTAGTTGCTGTATGTGGGACGTGGCCTCAGTATGGCCGGAGAAGCGGTGCGTCGGTGCGCGCCTGGGATCCAAACCCGGGCCGCCAGTAGCGGAGCGCACGCACTTAACCACTAAGCCACGGGGCCGGCCCTGAATAACAAACTTTTAAATAACTTGTAGGTCAAAAAATTTCTTCAAAAGGGAAATTGGAAAGTATTTTGAAGTGAATGAAAATGAAAACACACATAACAAAATTTGTGGAATGCTGCTAAAGCTGTACTCATGGGAAATGTGTAGCATTAAAAGCCTATATGAAAAGAAAAAGGTCTCAAACCAATGACATTGTCTTCTACCTTAAAAACTAGAAACATCAAAGCAGATTGATCCCAAAGTAAGTAGATGAAAGGAAACAATTGAGATCAGAGCAGAAATCAATGAAGTAGAAATGAGAAAAACAATGGAGCAAATCAATAAAATCACAGGTGATACTGAGAAGATAAAATTACTAAACCTCAAGAGAGAGAAAATTACCAATACCAAGTGTTAGATATCTGAGGTAGGGTTAGTATAGATTCTACCAATATTAAAAAGACAATAGGATAATATTATGAATAACTTTATGCCCATAAATTTGACAATTTCTGTGAAATGGATAAATCCTTTCAAAGACACAAACTCACTTAAGGAGAAATAGATAATTTATATATCAAGTAAATAAATCAAATTTGTAGTTAAACACTTTCCCACAAATAAAACTCCAGGCTTATATGGCTTCACTGGGGAATTCTACCAAACATTTAAAGAATATCTGATTTTACATGACTTCTTCCAGAATATTGAAAAGGAATGGACACTTCCCAACTCATTTTTTGAGACTTGCATTATCCTGATATCAAAATTAGACAAAGACATTATAAAAAAACTATAGACCTATATCTCTCATATAGATGCAAAAATTCTTAACAAAATTTTAGTAAATTGAACCCAATAGTATATTGAAAGGAAAATAAATTATGATCAAGCAGGATTTATCACAAAGTTTCAAGGCTGGTCTAAATTTGAAAATCAATCGATATAATCCACCATATTAACAAACTAAAAATCAAAAAAACATTATAACCTCAATAGACACCAAAAAGGCACTTGACAAAGTGCAACATCTGTTTCTGATAAACTAGGAATGGAAGAGACTCTGTGAAAACATACAGCTAACATCATATTTAGTGGTTATTATGGACTGAATGTTTCTGTTTCCCCCTCCCACCAAATTCATATGTTGAAGCCCTAATCTCCAATGTGATGGAATTAGGAGGTAAAGCCTTTAGGAGACAGTTAGGTTTAGATGAGGTCATGAGTGTGGACCCTCCATGATGGGATGAGTGTCCTTACAAAAGGAGAAAAGACCAAAGCCTTCCCTCTCTCCACCATGTGAGGATATACCGAGAAGGTGGCGGTCTGCAATCCAGTAAGAGAGCCCACACCAGACACCAAAGCTGCCTTTGATCTTGGACTTAACTTTTAGAACTGTGAGAAATAAATATCTGTTGTTTAAGCCATCCAGTGTATGATATTTTGTTATAGCAACCTGAGCAGACTAAAATGATGATGAAACATTGAATGATCAGGAATACAAAAAGGATGTCTGCTTCCAATACTTCTACATTAACATTGCACTAGAGGTTCCCACCATTATAATACTGTAAGAAAAATAAATAAAAGGCATCAGATAGGAAAAGTAGAAGTAAAATTGTGTTTATCTGGAGACAACACATTGTCTATATAGAAAATAAAAAAACCACTGTAACTAATAAAATAAGTTAAGCAAGTATAGGACACAAGATCAACATGCAAGAATCTATGGTATTTCTATATACTATCTACAAATTAGCAGAAATTCATATTAAAAACAATACTGTTAACAATAGTATCAAGAAAAAAGAGATAGTATAGAAGAAAAGATCAATATACAAGAATCTATGGTATTTTTATGTACTACCTACAAACAACTGGAACTTGATATTAAGCAAAAATACCATTAGCAATAGTATCAAGAAAAAGAAATACTTAAGGATAAATATGATAAAAGATGTGAAAGCCCTAAAGACTGATAACTACAAAACAGTGCTGAGAGAAATTAAAGACCTAAATTTTTAAATGGAGAGAGATCCCGTGTTCATGGGTTAGAAGACTCAATATTAAGATGTTAATCCTCCCCAAATGGATGTATGTATTCAATGTAATCACAATAAAAATCTCAAAAGGCTTATTTTTTAGATATTGGAAAAATCTAGATATGCAAAGGACGTAGAAAAACCACATACAATTCTGAAGAAGAACCAAAGTGAAAGACTAACTCTATTTGATTTCAAGACATTATAAACTTACAGTAATCAAGAAAGTAGTATTGGTATAAATATAGACAAATAGATCAATGGAAGAGCATAGAGAGTCCAGAAATAGACTCACATATTTATGGATAATTGATTTTTGACAGGGTGCATATGCAATTTAGTGGAGAACATATAGTCATGTTAACAAATGATGCTGGGGAACAAGTAGATATCTGTATGTAAACAAGTGAACGTCGATCCATATCTTGTACCATATAAAATAATTAACTCAAAATGATTGTAGATGTAAATGTGAAATATCAAATTCAAAGAATATAAGAAAAATTTTTATGAATTTGAGTTCAGCAAAGATTTCTTAGATGTGACCCCAAACACATGATCCGTAAAGAAGTATATTTATAAATTGGACTTCATCAAAATAAGAACTTCTGCTCTTTGAAAGATCCTGTTAAGAGAATGAAAAAATAAGCTATTGACTGTGAGAAGATATTTGAAGATCATATCTAACAAAGGACTTGTTACCAGAATGTACAAAGAACTCTCAATGCTTACTAATAAGAAAACAATCCACGAAAATGGACAAAAGATTTGAACAGATATTTAACTTCCTACAGATGGAAAATAAGCACATGGAAAGATGCTTAACATCATTTGTCCTTATGTAAATGCATATTAAAAACCAAAATATGAAACTATTATATTGCTGTTAGAACGTCTAAAATTAAAAAGACTGACCATGCGAAGTGTTGGCAAGAAATGTAGAAAGCAACTGAAACTCTTATACACTGCTGGTCGGAAAGTAAAACAGCACAACCACTTTGGAAAACTGACAGGTTTTTAAAAAGTTAGATGAATACCTACCATATGATCCAAACATTCTACTCCTTAATATTTCCCTAAGAGACCTAGAAGCAAATGACCATACAAAGACCATATAAAGACCAGCTGCATGAAAGAAGCCAGACAAAGAAAGTGCACATACTGTATGATGCCATTTCATAAAATGCCGTGAAATTCAGACAAATGAATAGTGACAGAGAGTAGATCAGCAGAAGCCGGGGGTGGAGGAATTACAAAGGCGCACAGGGGAACTTTTTGGGGGTGATGGTTATGTTTGTTAACATGATTGTGGTGATGGTTTCACAAGTGTATACATATATCAAAAAATTTCAAATTGCACACTTTATGTATAATTTATTGTGTATCAGTTATATGTGAATAAAGCTGTTAAAAAAGAAATTATTTCAAAAATCATACTTTTATGGATCTCATTGGTATCTTGACATATACATTAATAAGTATAATACAGTGGTATCATAATTATATTCCGTCTCTTGTTTTACAGAACAGGGCAGTTGGGAAACCTGACAGCTCCTTGCAATTATCATTGTAGATGCTTATCTACAGTCTATTCTGCTGTATGTGGAAGAGATGATATTGGATATTTTTCTCCTTGCTTTGCAGGCTGTACAAATGTTAAAACATTAAACAATCGCAAGGTACTTATTTTTTATTTTGCTTCTTCCTCTCCAATAAAATATTTAACTTGCAGATGGTGTTTACATTTTACTCCTAGCTCTCTATAAAAGCTTTTTTCCCTTTTTAAAAAATTTTAAAAACAAGAAAAGAACATTTGCTTTATGTGGTCATAGTACAAAGGGCTTATGGGAATTGGGAGTGGAAAAGATACTTCTACATTAAAACATACCTCCATATGTTACATCATTCCATTTTTTAGTTTTAAAACAGGAAGTGACTATCATCCACCTCTTGCCATAGCACAGGTGAAAGAAACAGTCTAAGAGAATATTTGTCTTCCACCTATGTAGTTTATCTTCGTTCTGTCCTACCTATTAGCAGCACCCAATCCACCAAAATCTTGAGACCACAATCTTTCCTGCTCCAGTGGGTTGACAAATACTATCCTTGTGGTCACTGTTCACTCAGTTTTTCCTTCTGAGGAATTGAAAATATCTATGCTATACCTTCTTGCTGTCTCTCTGTTTCTGCCCCACATTAACTCAGATGTGGCAATCAGTCCCTTTATTGTGTGCCAGAGATTACCATACATACAAGGCCTTTATAAGCATATCACACTTTCCAGAAAGGTAAGAAAGTTAGAGAAGATTTATATGGCAGCAATACAAATGACTGAAAATTGAATATGTATTATCCCTGTTGGTCCTTTGACATTTGACATCCAGGACTCATTTTAAAATTCCCCTATTTGCTCATCTTTGGGGTCATAACCATCAGAATTCCTTATTTCCCTACGCCATCTACCAACCTCCAGACAATTTTCTTGTTTTGTCATGCAGAGCAGTTGACTACCCTGCTACTAATTTGACTCCAGGTTAATTATCTTATATTCAAAATTGCATAAATGGGCTTTTAGCTGAATAATGGACTGTAACTTCAGCTTCTCCCTTTTAAGTGGCACAGAAGTAGGGACCCAGGCCTTGAAACTTCTGTGTTTTTTTCCTCCCCTCTCTGGCTAGTTTTGTGAGAGAGAGCAAGAAAGAGGTTTATTTCCTGACCGATAGGCGTTATATGTACCACCTCCCTTAGTGGCCATAAAGTCTTTTATTAGTTATGCACCTACATAACAATATTATTTTCTCTGTTACACATGGATCATTTCATTACAAGATATTAGCATACCTGACCAAATTTAGTTTCTCATAGTCATGTTTTCACTGGCTTACGATTTAGTAATATATCTTCAGTTTTTTACTGAATATTAATATGAAAAGGTTACAGACTCTAAAAAAATCCTTCTTCTTAAATGTTACATTATATGTTTAAAATGACTTTTAAAATCTTTAAAATATGTTCCCGTGGAAAGCTTTAAATGTAATAGGATAGCATAATGTACTCCTATATGCCAATTCCCATCTTCAACAATTTATTAACTTATGGAAAATCTTACTTTATACTCCTATTTACTTCTTCTCCTCCATTTTAGTTTGAAATGAGTAAAAGATTTTTTAAATGCTCGTGTTGTCACTACAGTATAAAACAGAACTCTTTGACCTTGGTGTTTTGATCCCACAGGATGTTCGAGAGCTAAAAAGGCCATCCACTATACAGCGCCAATCCCTCTTTCTTTTTCTGGGGAATCCCTGTAGGGATTTTGTTTCTATTTCATAAAAATCTTTGTAATTTCCTTGCATTACGCTAAGGAATAATTAATTCATAATGAGTAGCAGTGATATAAATAATCTATAAAATAGTCACTCAAACTGTGTGATAACATTTGATACTGAATCAAAATTGAAAGAAGAATAAAACGTTTTTGACAAAAAATTAGATCTGTTAGAAGTTTCCCAGGACAATTAGCCTTGAAAAAATAATAGCTCTGAAGGAAAACTGACAGTAGCAGAAGCTATGATTAGTACAGTTTGATATGGATGGAACTGACTAATGGATAAAATATGCATTCACTTCAAATGGGAAAGAATTGATACCAATAAAAATAATTTTAACAAAATTAAAATTAAAAAAGAGAAACATTGTATATAAAAAATGATCATGTATCTAAATGGGGTTAATGGAATTCCCTCTGGAAATATTTTTTCAATGAAAATATGTCAACTTTGAAATAATTCTGTTTAAATGTTCATGTTCAAAACATGATCAGGGTCAAAATGAGTTATAATTGGATGCTCTTCAATTACACTTACGCAAAAGTTTGCAAGAGGAGTGGTAGGAAATACTATACCTATGAGGATTACTAAGTTTCTATAGAAAATCACAGCTGTACTAAAACTGAAAATAGATATCTCTGCTCTTTGTATTGATAATATTCCTGGACAGTTTTACCTCATTGAGACCCACATGTATTCTTCTTATTCATGCTACCAAAGATCTTCAAATTTCCTTACATAGATATGAAGGAAATCTTGGGCTTTTCTTCATGATCTTCTCACTGGGACCAGTTCTTTTCGGCAGCTGATATAGCTTTCATCATAAAATAGTAGGATCAGGGCTTCTTCCAGAGGCTGCTCTAGTCCAACAGGAGCCTCATTCTGATTATCTCTAGAGGGGGAGTCAATCTCATCCAAAGCAATGAGGATTATAAGAAGCCAGGCTTTAGGGTGTCTTTCAGTTGAAACATCCTTAGAATATTTTAACTTCATTTACTCACCTCCCACCTCTTTTTGTCATATATTTTATTTCTTCATATATTGTAAATGACACATACTATTATTACTGTTGTTTTCTATAGTCAGTATGCACTTATATTTATCCATTTTCTTGCATTTCCATGCTCTCATATGAGATTATTTTCTTTCCTCCTGAAGAACCATATTTCACCTTCAGTTTTGCAAAAACTGTTTTCACTGGGTATGGAATTCTATTTTGGTGGTCATCTCACCCTAGATGTGGTTTTCATAATATTTATTTTGCTTAGATTTCACAGAACATCTTTAGTCTGTGGATTTACATCTGTCAGTTGGGAAATTCTCAGCTATTATTTCTCCTTCACTCTTTCCTCCTTTTGGACTGGGGGAGAGGGGGACCATGTATTAGTTCGCTATTGCTACATAACAACTTACCACAACCTCAATGTCTTTAAAGAATACCCATTTATTAGCTCACAGTTCTGAGGTCAGAAGTCCAGATACAACATGACTGGGTCCTCTGCTCAGAGTCTCACAGGCTGAAATCAGAGTGTTGGTTGAGCTGCATTCCTTTCTGGAGGCTCTGGGAAACAATTCGCTTCCAAGCTCAGTCAGGTTACTGGTCAAATTCAATTCTGTTGGGCTATAAAAAATGAGGCCCTTGTTTCCTTGTTAGCTGTCTGCTGAGGGCCAATTTTAGCTTTTAGAGGCCATCCCCATTCTTTGCTGCATGACTCCCTCCATCTTCAAGGCTAGCAACAGAGAATCTCCCTTATGTCATATGCTTTGAATCTCTGACTTCAGGAAATGTCCAGTACCTTTTAAGGCTCACCTAATTAGGTGAGATTTACCCTCTCTTTCTTAAAGTCAACTATGTCATGTAACATAACTTACTAAGGGGAGTAAAATTCATCAATTCACAGTCCTAGGGATTATACAGGCTTTATACAATAGTGGGGTGGGAATCTTAGGTGCCATCTTAGAATTCTGCCTAACACAGACTACAAATAGACCTTTTGACTGTGTCCCGTACTTTTTTGCTCTTTTCTTTATTTTCCATCTCCTTTCATCTATTTGTTTAAATGTAGATATTTTCTATTGATCTGTCTTCCAGTTACTAATTCTCTGTTCTGCAGTGTCTACTCTTATGTTAAACCCATTAACTGAGGTTCTAAGTTTACTTATTGTATTTTTCAGTTCTAAAATTTATGTTTTTTGTAGAACCCAAATCCCTGGTGAAATTCAACATCATTTAAGATATTTTAGCCATTTTTCTCCTCTATTTCCTGGAAAATATTAATCTTAGCTATTTTAAAATTTTTCTATTAAGTCCACTATTTGGATCACCTATGAGTCTATTTATATTTGTTCTTCTCTTAATTTTAGGCCAATTGTTCTTGTCATTTTGCATGCTTTGTAATGTTCTATTAAATCCTGAACATTGTATATGAAAAATGTCTCATAATATAATTATACAATTGTCTATTTCTCTCTTTATTTTGGCTTTATGTGTTTTCAAGCTCTGTTATTATGTGCATACACATTGATAATTGTCATATGTTCTTGATGAATTGTTTCTTTTATCTTTATAAAATGTCCCTTTCCATCTCTGGTAATACTCTTTGCCTTAAAGTCTGTTCATATATTAAATAGTCACTCTAGCTTTCTCTTGCTGGCGTTGCCATGGTGTATCTTACTTCTCATTTTATTTTCTAACTAGTTGTGTCTTTATGTTTAAAGTATCTCCTGTAGCAGGCATATAATATGGTTTCGCTTTTTCTTCAATTCTGTTAATTTCTGTCTTTTAATCGAAGTTTTTAGACTACTGACATATATTGTAATTATTGATATGGTGGATTTAGGTATACCTTCCTATTTTATTATTTGAATTTAAAAAATATTTTACTATTTAATGTTAATATAACTTTTGGAATTTTGGTTATATTTCTTTGGATGTAACTTGACAGTTCTTCTACCCTTCCAGAGCCTAATATCTTGTGATTCTACCCTCTGTTCACTAAACCTTCTTCATTTTTTCACCTTTCCCCTTAGTCAGCTTAGGTTCTATGGCTTGCAACTATTTGTTGTACTGGATATCTTTCATCTGACCTTCAGATTTACTTTTCACTTTTCTCTGCCCTCCTCATTGTTCTAGGAGACTGAACTATAGCATTAAGAGCTCCTTTGCCCTCTGGCTTCTGATTGGTTTAAGATAATAAGGATTCCTAGCAGAAAATCAGAAAGATGGGAAAAAATCAAACTGACATGATTTTTGGATCATCGTTTTCTGAATTACCCAGATTCAAGCCATCTTTATTTCTTCTTGTTCCTTCGCTAGTAACCTAGTTCAATATTTCTGTTGAATTTATTACTGTTATTTTTTAATTTAGTTGAGATTGGGTGCATTCAGGGTGGTATGGCTGTAGACTTTTTAGTTTAGAATCTTTTCAATGGATTAATAAATCGCTAACTGGTCGCAGCATCTCCAAACTCTGTTTAATTCTTCTTAGAAAATAACACTTATTCATCTTCTTTGAATTATCAACCCTACAACAACAACCCCAAATTTTCGTTGGTTCCCATGCAGGGTTATGTTATGACTTTCATTGGCTCTAGACACTTTTACCTTTGTAAGCCCCTTCCTTCACTAAAAATATAAAAATAAAAAAAAAAAGGAGAGAGAGAGATTTAATGTACAACTGTATTGGTATGAAGACAAATATGATCCAGGCTGGATTCATTATATTTATTTTTTTCTTTGATTTTAAAAGGCACTAAAATTAAAACATTTTTATGTGGCCCTGAAAGTATTGTGGGCCCTAGGCACTGTGCCTACTCTGCCTAGTAGATAACAGCCCTGTCACCATTACATACAAAATAAAATCCTGTCTTTTCAGCATGGTTCTAAAACCTTCCACAACTGAGTAACTGTCCGTATTTCAAATCCCAGCTAAAATTCCATTTTATTTACTACATTTTCCTTAATTGCCCTCACTTCATAGAGCTCTCCAACAATTATTTGTGCAATTGAAAGTAAATATTTTTGGTGAAATTTCTTAAATTAATAGAATTTATCCTAAGTAACTATAATTACACACACACACACACACACACATGATTCTTTATTAGGTAAAATACCTTGGACTTATCATTAATGTTGCATTTGTAAATAATGAATAGCAGATTTAGTGTAATGATATTTACTAATAAAACTGGCTAGTCTCTCTGCAATTATTGATTTGATTTTTATCTTTTACAATAATAAGAGTTTTTGCTTTATGACTGTATTTCTAAAAGGTTGTTTCCTATCTTCATTTTCATAGACATACTACAATTGTTCTTGCATTAAAGAAGGATTAACAACTTCAGATGAAGAAGGTGATTTTATTGATGCTAGAGTTGGGAAATGTGATACAAAGTGCTATAAATTACCTTTGTTCATTGCTTTTATCTTTTCTACAATTGTATTTTCTGGTTTTTCTGGTGTACCAAACATCCTGACCATCCTTCGGTACGTATACATTTATTCAAAATAATTATTCATTTAATACATAAGAAAGGCAATTTTAGGAAGATTTAAAATATTGTTGTAAATGATTTACTCTTTCCTTTCAAGGTAGCAGCTGCTAGTGGGTAAATTGTTACATTGTCAAAATTTCTGTATATGCTTAATTCCTGTTTTAACTAATTTATTTGCCTGAGTGTGTGGATATCACATTTAGTTTTAATTAATTAATTAAATTTAATTTAATACTTGGAAAATTCATATATACAAAAATTGTTACATTGTCAAAATTCATGTATATGTTTAATTCTCTATTTTATCTAATTAATTTGCATAAGTCTATAGATATTACATTTAGTTTAACTTTAAAATTAAATTTATTTCTTAATTTAACATATGCAAAATTCATAAATGTAGGAAAATTCTTAATTATAACATAGATGTGATTATAATTTTCATTCATTGTGTAAAGATATTTATTGATGATTTACTTTTATGTTAGCCAATTGGACCATGAGAAAACATCAATAACAAAGGAACATAACTTTTAGAATTTTAGAATTTCAGTCCGTAAGTTTATTATTATTCTAAATTAAACCAACATTTGTTATTCATTTGTTCTTCCTGAACATGTGAAATATACTTAATATTTATTATTATCATAGTAGGAGAATAATTGAACATAATTTTCAAATTATTTTTTTTAAGAGGCTAACATAAACCTTTAGGTCATGAGCAATTTGCCGAACCCTAGGAAAGCAGACTAGAGGACATGAATAAATATACGCAAAAAAAATAAAATCTGAGTTGGGCACACGTGGTTTTTGTCTTCAATGAACTTGCAGTTTAGATGGGAGAAAAAATTTGACATATCATTACAGTGAAGCAGCTTTTTTATTCATTTATCTGTGTCTGGCACTGAAACTACAAAGACCAATAAGATATGGACTTTGCCTTTAAGTTGCCTAGAGTTTAATAGAGGGAGAAAAACATATAAAAATAAGTCCAGTGAATACTTAGAAGTGCCTTGATTAAAGCCTGAACAGACTGGTCTGGGAACAAAATGGAGAAAATGGTCATTTTTATCTCGGATGATTTGGAAATTCTAAGGAAGGTATGGCATTTGAACTGAGTCATGAAGATAAGTGATTTCTCATAATGCAAGCAGACTGGTTCTTAACAGGAAAGTGAAAGTAGGCCAAAATGTGTGAAATATCTTAGCAAGGAGTTTTTTATGACAGGAGTGAATGAGACAAGGAGATTTGAGCTCAGTAAGGACCTGATTATGGGAGGCTTTCTTTGCCATGTTAGCGTGAATGATGTTATCCTGTGTATACCTGGAAGCCATTGAAAACAGTAAACCTCAGAAGTAAAAGTGATCAAATATGCATTTAGGATAGAGTTCTTTGAAGATAGTGGGGAAGAAGAAGCTGAGAGGGAAAATTGGAGAAAAGAGAAAATATTTAGAAGACTACTTTGTGGAATTTATCCCTATTAAGAGATAGAGATAATAGAACATATTTGAGAAATAGTTTGGATAAAAAGGCAAAATTTTTAATTTGATATTCCTGGTACAAAATATGGAGAAATTTAGGACTATGTCCAGATTTCCAATCTGGGGAACTAAATGAATGATAATCCATTAACTGAGATAGGAAATTCAAGGAGAAGAGAAAGCTGAGATTGAAGATAGTGAGTACAATGTTGAACATGCCTTATTTAAAATTCATGTGAAACATCCAAGCAAATATTCTCGGCAGTGAGATGAGAAAGATGATGATAGTAATTTTCCAGAAGTTTAGTTCTGAATCTTCTCATTTCTCCTGGTAACTATACAGAGCAATAAGGAGAATAACACACACACACACACACACACGCACACACATGCATATACCGTTGTTTCAGTACAATTATGAGATGATAAACAAAAAATGACAAAGTTGAAATTGCATGTAAGTATTGCCAAAATTGTAGCAGAACTAGAAGCCAGCTTGTAGATTCACAAAGATGTTACAAAGAATAACAGGAAATGTGAAGAGTGTCTCAGTATTGACAGATCTCAGATATCTGCAGCATATATTTCTGCTCAGAAAGGAGAGGGCCCTACCTTAAGATGGAAGTTCTGGGAGCAGGACCTGGGGAGATAAGTCAAGGCAAAGTCTTTCTGGAAAGCATGAGAGAAACGACTTGGAAAATGCCTAGGAGGTCCAGACATGGCAGATCTCAAAAAGTGCTGCAAGGTATACCTTCTATAAATGAATATATAACCTTGGAAAGCAAGAAATGTGAAGAGATCTCAGAAGCCCAGGGCTGGCGGTAGAAGTTCTTTTGAAACAGGTCAAATTTGGAGAAGCAGAGAGGGTATAACCACACATAGGAACCATAGTTAAGTCTTTTCCTATATCCACAGAGGAGATAACTCTTCAGTTTTGAAGCTTGGAAACCCTGGCCCATGTTCCATCCCCATACTACTTCTGCCTGTAGTTTAAGAAACTTCATCTCATTCAAATATGAGTAAGTAGAAAAGGAAAAGGTTCTTCCTACATATAAAATAATTATAGTGAAAGAAATGAAAATTCTTAAGCATTATTTTACTATAGACAATGAAAACTCACTAGAAAAATGCTACTACAAATCAGATAACAAAAATAAATGTAACTATATGTAAGTTTAAACTACAAAAATTAAACAATCATGGCTACAAAACAAGGAAAGAATAGCTAGAGGAAGGAGTCTGTGGAAAGAAAACAGACAGAACTCAGGAAAGAAATAAAAGGCAAAATAATTCAGAAATTAAAACTAAATTATAAAGCATACAAGGAAGAAAAGACAACATAGAAAGCATGTATGGGGCATAGAAAACAAACAAAAAGAAATAGAAATGGAGAATATAAAATAAAAATAAGAAAACAAGTATTAGAGAAAAGAGGCAAATATAGAAGATAGGAAAAGGAGATCCAACATGCATATAATTGGAGTCCCCAAAGAAGAAAACCACTACAATCAAACAATAAATATTTAAATTTATAGTTAAATTAAACTTCACTGAAATAATGATATTTAATAAATACTAAATAGTAAGTAATAATGATAAATAATGAATAGTGAAATATAATAAGATTTGAATTTACATATTGAAATGGCACATCGAGTATTTAGGGAAATTGATCCAGAACAATCAACACTGAGATATACCGTAGTAAAATTATTGAATTTAAAGGTGAAGAAATAATGCTTTTGTCGTCTGAAAAAAAGAGAAAGCAAAAACAGTTTGGCATCAGATTTCTCAGCAGCAACATTCACCTCCAGAAGACTGGAGAAACACTTAAAAGATTCTCAAGGAAAGAAGAAGTGAGCTCATTATTTCATCATCAACTGTTAAAATTATAAATAGTTTTGATATGGAAGAGCCCAAGAAATGTTGTTATGAGATACTCCTTAAGAATCAACAGCAAGGCAAGTTATAACCAACCAAGATATGATTGGGGGAACTTTGATAAAGGTCTGATGGTGAGCATTGAATAAATTAAGCTAAATGGATTTAACAACTTATATATATATATTTTTTTTGTGTGTGTGAGGAAGATCAGCCCTGAGCTAACATCCATGCTAATCCTCCTCTTTTTGCTGAGGAAGACCGGCTCTGAGCTAACATCTATTGCCAATCCTCCTCCTTTTTTTTCCCAAAGCCGCAGTAGATGGTTGTATGTCATAGTTGCACATCCTTCGGAGTTGTTGTATGTGGGGAGACATGGCTTCAGCATGGCCGGAGAAGTGGTGCGTCGGTGCATGCCCGGGATCTGAACCCGGGCCGCCAGTAGCGGAGTGCGCGCACTTAACCGCTAAGCCAGGGGCCAGCCCCTAACAACTTATATTTAACCTAATATATTTTACTAAATATAATTAATTTATGCTAGAACTAAGCTGAGCATAAGTGTGGCAAAATAGAATGAAATGTAATATGCTTTGATAAAGTAGAAATTATGCAACTAACAAAAATGGGAGAGAAAAACAGGGTAGAGATCAAAAGAAGGGTAAGCTTGCTGGCTGCCTAATAGATAAATGAGGAGTCATGCGATATCATTTTAATAGACATCTTAATGAAGCATAATATATATTTAGAAGAGTACACAAATCATAAGTATAGAGACTGATGAATTTTTACAAAGTGAACACATCTATGTAACCACAATCCAGTTCAAGAAATTGATAATTACGAGTATTCCAGAAGCCCCTTCCCCAACTCCTTCCTGTCTCTAACCCCTTCATCCCTAAAGTTTATTGATATCTTGATTTCTATAATGAATAGGTTAATTTGTTCTGTTTGAACTTTATGTATGCTCAGGAGGATACAGCACATAGTCATTTGTGTCTGCATTGCCTTACTCAACAATGTGCTTATAAGAGCCATTCATATTGGTGCATATAACATAAATTCATTTTCATTGCTCTATAGCAGTGCTGTCCAATCAGATTTTTTTTAAATGATGGAAATGTTCTGTATCTCTGCTGTCCAATTTGATCGCCTCTAGCCACATGTGCCTATTGAGCATTTGAAATGCAGTTAGTGTGATTGAGGCACTGAACTTTTAATTTTACTTAGTTTTAATTGATTCAAATTGAAGTAGACACATATGGCTAATGGTCACCATATTGCACAGCATAGTTTTATAGTAGTCCATTGTATGAATTTACTAAAATTTGTTCTACAGTTAATGTTGTTTCCAATTTAGGGTTATTAAGACTATTGTTTCTATGAACATTCTTGTAGTCATCTTTTGGGGAACATATGAATATATTTCTGTTGAGTATATATATAAACAGCAGAATTGCTGAGTCATAGTTAAGCTTTTTAATAAATTTTAAAAATATTTGCACAAATTCATTCTTCTAGCAATCTATTGCTCATTGTTTTTAAACTCAATTTTGATGTGTCTATGTGTGTGTGTTGATATGTCATTGTGATCTTAATTTCCTTATTCAGAAGACTAATGCTATTGGACATA